CGCTACCAGAAGTATGCAGATACAACGACCGCAATAGGTTTACATACTTCCGCGGCATTCCTGTGCGGAGCAGCGACCCCAGAAGAGCTTCACGGTCAACTGAATCGAAGGCTCCTTTTAGGTCAAAGAACACTGCGATTGTTGGTCGACGATGTTTGTAACGCAGTTCGAGGACTTGACGCAGAGTGAAGATTTGGTCGATGCACCCGCGACCCGGTCGGAATCCGGCTTGTTGTTCCCGGATATTCCTCTCCCTTGAGGGTGTCAGGCGGCGAAGTATCACAGAAATCAATACTTTGGTGATTATCGGAACTAAACTAATCCCACGGTGGTTAGCGCGGTCGTCGCGTGATCCCTTCTTGAAAATAAGGACGATCATCGATTCACTCTAGGACAAAGGGATACGCTCCTCCGTCCAAATGCTGCAAAGTAAGCTAGTAATTGAGTCGACAAGAGAATCACCGCCCACCTTGAAAAGAATAGGGAGAAGCCCATCAGGTCCCGCAGCCTTTTTCTTTGCCTCCCTCCAAGTAGGTCCCATCTCTCTCCATCTTATGCTTTATCATCTGATTTGTGTACATTGTGAGCTTGGCAGCGATCAGTTCGCTTCACTGTATCTCGCTGTACGATGATGATGATGATCCCGCAGCCTTTCCGTTCTTTAATGATTGAATGCAGCTTAGTACTTCCGATTCTGATGAGGGCTCGCGTGTTACCACCTGTAGAGTTTCCGCCGCAATTGCTGGAATGACCACATTAGCACTAAGCCAATTGAACTGTTCACTAAAATACTCTGCCCAGCGATCAAGTCGTTCNTTTTATCGCAAATGATCTCACTAACCGGTAGGCGACGACCTCCGGTGCTGCGTATCAGGTGAAATAGCCTTTGACTATTCCCTGATGCAGAAGCTACCTCCAGCTCACTAGCTATATCGGCCCACCAATTTTCACGATCTTTCTTAAGGCTATTTCTGAGTTGACACTGCAGACGACATCGGTCCTTATGCGGATCCTGGCAGATTGGGATCTTTCGCTTTTGATCCATTAGGATTAATGACTCCTGAGACAACCAATGCCTTCGGGGGGAACTTCGGGCTCAATCCCACAAGCAAAGTTTGCAGCCGAGTGCATC